TTTTAACAAGATACGCCTTTTATAAATTTGTTACATGCGACATGTAAATAATCGTACGAATTCAATACCGATCAATCATTTTCTCTCTCTTTGTGTATAGTTATTTTTAATTTACAATTACATCGATGGAAAAATAATCGCGTCTTTTTTGTCGTATCGAATAAAACGATAAAACTTGCGATTATTTTTCGCACCAATTCAATCCGCAAATTTCTATATGCATTGATTGTAACGTGACTGCGCAAAAAAAAAAAAGAAAGAAGAAAAGAAAAGAAAAGAAAAGAAAAGAAAAGAAAAGAAAAAAAAATAGGATTCAAGTAATTTTCTAAAACTAATATCTATTATCCAACGACAACGAAGGATTGTCAATCGAAGAAAATATTGATTTTGAATATCGTCGATCGATTATTAATTGAATATAATCATGAAACTTATGTTTTTATCCGAAAGGAGGAAGTTTTAGAAGGAAGTAGGAAGTTAGTCGATATCCTTTCGCAAAAGCGATAAAATCAATTGAACCTCGAATCTTCCGGGTAGTTGTGTTGTATCTATTAGGTACTTTGTATTCGGCTAGGTAGGTACATATCGGGTACCTTTGCATTCGAGCGAGTCGACCTCGACGCGCCTTCCTCATTAACCTACATATTCACATCGCGAAAAACGACGAATATAAGATAGTAGATGTTTTATCACGAAGTTTATCGTTGAGAAAAGAGGAAAAGAAAAGGGGCTAGAGGGGGAAGAGTGGGGAAGGGGGTAGTGGGTGAAAAAGATTCGAAAGATTGTGAATTGGACGAGAAATAAGAATGTAAAGAGTTAAAGACGATTTCCCGAATATTCCCTTTTTCATTTTTATTTTCTTGATGGTTGATAATTTAACGCGTCATTGAATGGCGAAAAATTTGTCTTGAGAACCTCCATTCGAGTATTCCTTTCTATTCCCTCTTTCTTTCTTTCTTTCTTTCTTTCTTTTTATTCATTCTTATAGATTTTGTCGCACTTAGACAATGAAACGGTATCGTGTTTTAGATCCACGACCGATGCGATATCGAGGAGAGGTGTCCTGTCGAGACGATGCTATGGAAGCGTCGAGATGGTAAGAGAAGACTTTACGAGTACGTTTATATATACAAGTAGATATAAATGTATGTATATATCTCTCTGTGTGCGTCTGTCTGTTTGTGTGCGTCTATCTGTGTACGTGTGGATATACGTGTTTGTGCATGTGAATACAGAAAGACGTTCGGTTATGTTCCTATTGCAAATAGGTCAAATCGTCGTGTTCCACTTTGGAGAACGACCACTTTCGAATACGAGAGTGGTTCGCGACGATAAACGACAAAATCTTATGTGTGATAGAATCGTAGAAACGAAGACGATGTTAGACGTCTTCCTGTTTGTCGCGGTTCCATCGAATGGAAACTTTTTATCCTTCGTAAATTTCGAAGAAGAAGAATTCCGACGATTCTTCCAATGAGAAACGTCGTAACGTGATTTTTCCTATTAACACCTTTCGTTCGCCGAATGTTCACCATTTTTGTTTTTTTTTTCTTTTTGTTCTTTTTTTTTTTATCTACCTTCCGTATCCGCCATGGAATATTATCACGAGTATTATTTTTCTTTTTCTTTTTCTTTTTCTTTTTCTTACTCGTTCGCCCTTAATCTTTTTTCTTTCTTTTTCTTTTTTTTTTTTTTTTTGTTTCTTTGTCTTTCTTTCTTTCTTTTTTTTTTAATCGAGCATGCATCGTCCTCGTTACGCGACAACGTTCACTCCTGTTGGCAGGTAAAAAGCGTCATTTCCGGTGTAACAGAATCGAGTTAACAGAACTCGAACAATCGCAGCATTGCCTCGTGTTTCGTCGATCGAAATTTTCATCGATCAATCGAGCGACGTCACTAGAATCGTTTCTATGTTTTTGTCAAACTGGAACAATGATTTTTTTTTTCTTCTTTTCTTTCGTTTGTTTGTCGATTACTCGAGTAATAGAGACGAGGAATATAGATCTGGAATATCTCTCATTTTTTTTTCTTTTTTTTTTTTTTAGTTGCCACAAATCGAACAGGACGGCTCCGACAATGGGAGAAGATTTCGAGTGGAGAACGGAGATTCTCCTGGCGAAAAAGAGGAAGTAAAGCTGATCGATATTTCTTCTCTTTCTATTCTATCTATCTATCTATCTATCTATCTTTCTGTTTCAATTTTTCATCGTATTTTTCACTTTTCACTTCAAGAGAAAGTAATACATATCGCCCATATTTATGATCCCATCGTCCTTTTCTGTTCTACAGATGTTCGGATCTCCGAATATACCGATATTGGAAAATCCCGAGTACCAAACACGTTGGTACTTTAAATACTTTCTAGGAAAGCGTGAGTACGATATCTTCGTTCGTTCGTTCGTTCGTTCGTTCGTTCGTTCGTTCATTCGTTCGTACGTACGTTCGGTTCGGTTCGGTTCGTTCTTTTTCAGTTTTTTTTTTTTTTTCCTTTTTATCTCATCAACCGCAGATAATGTTCAAAACCACGCGCTCATGTTCATCCTCAGTGAAAGCTCAGACACGCCGCTCCTATCGTACGCGCCAAAGTTTATACGCTTAACGGGTATAAATATTGGTAGAGAGTGAGATAAAAGCGTACCGAGCTTGTGCCAATAGCGTCGATATACTCGTTAATGGAGGACCGCGATTACGAGCTGTGTGGATCGATAATTAAGACGAATGTTGTTCTATTATAAAAATCAAAAAAAAAAAAAAAAAAAAAAAGAAAAGAAATATTAGTGCGAGCACGTGAACATTTTTACTGAACTTACTCGTTATGGATTTGGTACGAATATGAAAAAAAAAGAACTAAAAAAAAAAAAAAAAAATAAAGAAAAAGAAAAAGAAAACACGAGAAAAAAAGATCCAACCAACGTGGCGCAATTTTGTTAACGAAAAAAAAAAAAAAACAACGAACAAAATCGTTTAAGCTTTTATTTGTTTATTTATTTTTTTTTTTTTGATCTTTCCTTTACACCATAATCCTCCCGAATCGTAATCATCCTTGTTATAGTGCATCAAAATTACGTGGCATCGGATCATGAAAGGAATCCACTCTTTCTCTCAGTGGTGATGAGCGAGGGTGGCGATCAATGCGTATCGCATTACAGAGTTATTTTATGGAGACGAACGGTGAGTAAAGTAAAATAAACTTTTTCGATCGTATTACACAAATAAGGGTGTAATTAACATCGTGTAAATATTTTTTTTATTTTATCTTTAACTTTCTTTCATCTTCTCCTTTTTTTTTCTCTTCATCTTTTGTTTTCCCCTCGTAATTACACGCCTTATATCAAATAATCGATGCAAGTAAACATGAAAAGAAAAAAAAAAAAAGAAAATTACAACCATTGCGTTTTAATCCAGGGCGCTCAAAAGATATCTCTGCCATTTTCGGCAAACAAGACGATGACCATCAGGCAAATCCTGAGGTAAATATTTTTTACTTAATTGGGGAAAAAGCGAGAAAAACAATTACCACGATACTAGTTATTATTTATTGTCGTTGTAAAACTAGACGCTCGATTTGCATTTTCTCCAGCAACTTCTTCGGCCTGGAAAAACTCGACAAGGCACCACGCGAAGTTTTGTCCCCTGAGATACAAAAGGTGCGTGTACATCTTGAAACTTTAACTACTTCAACAAGTTACTTTAATTTTAACCACGACCCAAGAGATTTTCCAGTACTTTTGATATTGAAAAAGTATAATGAACGAATATCTTTGAAATTTATATAAAAATATTAAAAGAATCCCTTATCTGAAATCTTTGTATGTAACAAACCAATTGAAACGTTATTATTTTTATGAATAATCGATATTGTTCCGGATAATATGGGAATACAACATACTTCGTCCATATTTATAATCTCAAACATCTTTCGTCATTTTCCTTGTTTTCCAAAGGTCAACTTTAACGTGTATATCTTTATTACACGCGATCTCTCTGCAGACGATGACGATATGAAAAAAATGAATTATACATGTATGTACGTTAGTGTTGCATACCAAAGGGGCTTTAAAAAAATTTCTCCCTGATTGCACTCGCAACTTTAATTATTGACATGTTGTAGAGTGATGCATATTTTCAGGCGTAATACTTGGGAACAATTATAGAAAATTTGACGAATATGCGTGATCATTTTTTCTCAACAATATTAAATGAAACATTATTAAACGGAACGACATATTTCGAAGTATTTTCGTAGCTATAAAAATCTATTACGATCTTTTCTTTCTTTCTTTTTTTTGTTTTTCTTTTATATATATATATATACATATATATATATATATTTAATATATATATATATATATATTTAACGATAAAACTCCTCGAAAGAACGATTTATTTAGGATTTACTATTACTGGAAGAACAAGAAGGATCCGTCAACTTCAAGTTCGGTGTTATATACGCGAAGGAGGGTCAGACAACCGACGACGAGATGTTATCGAACGGTAAGACGAAGAAAAATTAAGAGTTGCCGCTCGGCGTTGGTATATTTTTGTTTAAGTAGATAGAAACAGAAACGATGATCAAAGGAGGACACGTTCGACCCACGGGTCGTGTCTTTATTGTTCGCAGAAAGTGGCAGCCCCGGTTTCGAGAAGTTCCTCGATATTCTCGGTGAGAAGATACGACTCAGAGGTTGGGACAAGTACCGAGGCGGCCTGGATGTTAAAGGTACACTTACGATTGTATGCCATCGCTATATATTATATAAGGAAGAAAGATAAAAATAGCTTGTCTTTAAAATTTAATCACATCGATATTATCTCAAATCGAAAGAAAAGAAAAAAAAAGAAAATATACATATATATATATATGTGTATATTTAATTAATATATATTTAAAAGCATTTTATTTTGTGTACAGGTGACATGACCGGAAGAGAAAGCGTTTATACGATATATGCTGGTCACGAAGTGATGTACCACGTCAGCACAATGCTTCCTTATTCGAAGGACAATCCGCAGCAACTCGAGAGAAAAAGGCATATTGGTAATGATATCGTCAACATCATTTATACGGATGATCCAGCAGCCGTGGATAGTTTCAATCCTAATTGCATAAGGAGTCAATTCACTCGTAAGTTCTCAATTCTATTTAAAAAAAAAAAAAAAGAAAAAAAAAAAAGGGAAAAGAAAAAGCCAAAGATTTTCTATTATTTTCCTTTTTGATTTCTCTCCTCTTTACTCTTTTTTTTTTTTAGACGTATTTGCTATGGTATCAGCGTTAGGACTCCTTAAAGGTTGGCGAGTTGCCATTTATTGCGACGAAACGGTTCCTCTTTTTGGTCCAAGTCTTCCGTGTCCACCAATATTCGACGATCCTTATCACTTGCGAGAATTTCTTCTAGTCAAACTTATCAATGGCGAGAAAGCAACTTTTAATACGCCAACCTTTTCTAGAAAAAGAGAAAGAACTCTGGATGCTCTATTGCGTGATATGTATCAGGAACATGCGCAAGATGGCAAGAGCAACGTGAGTCTTCAGCGTGATCTTCTGTTAAACGTACATATCCGTTAATTTTAGAATAAATTTTTGTACATACTTTTAATCTAATAATATGAGAAAGTAAAAAAAAAAATATATGTATATATATATAATATATTCGAATTATTTTTTAAATACACAATTTCTTGTGATACGCATAGGATAATCGATCATTTATCGTTTCACAGAGCATGTTGAATCGTCGTGCATTTTCTGACGTTGTTGAAGCACCTGGTCGACGACGAGAAGAAACTCGATCTGTAGAAATGGTTCGCGTTGGTCAGGCTGTTAAATTAGAAGCGATAGTTCGCGGTCTGGCACCAACTTCTCTAGCCACAGTTGGCCCGTTGAAACCAAGACCTTGGGAACCGAGATGTATTTATCCAGATTTCCCTCACGTCGTAATTTGCGGTGACGTTTGGTCGGAGAATAGGATGATACTTGCGACGGAAAATGGAACTTTTCTGGTCGAAGGTAAAGTTTTTAGTTTTGTTCTCTGAAAAAAAAAAAAAAAAAAAAAAAAAGAAGAAAAAAGGATTTAATTCTAACGTTAGATAAACAAAAAAATGATTTTCTTTCCCCCAGAGGGTCTATCTCACAGAATGATTTTCGATGAGTCAGTTCAAATCAAACAACTCGACGTGGTAGAGCAACACGGTATTCTTCTCTTTCGCGGAATCGATAAAGGCAAAGAAAGCGTATACGTTTTTCGTTTGCGTGAATTCGATTACGATTCGGCTTTGAGTGGAAAAACATACAAATTCCCGGAATTCTTTAACAATCGTGACGATGAAGACGAAGGAGACGAGCACGACGAAGAAACGGAAGAGAACGGTGAGAACGAGGATGATTATAAGGATGGCGAGATCGAGGAAGAAGATTCCGAGACGATTTATCGAGAAAATTTTAAATTCAAATCATCTTTACGTTCTCGAACACGGACACACCTTCGACCACCCGCGGTTAGAAGTCGAGCGCATATTAAGGATAGAAAATTGGCTCGTACTCGTGGTTGCCATCTCTACAGTATCACCAGGCAAGGTGGCTCGCACTTGCGAATGGTATTCTTTAATCTTTCGAAGAAAATCTAATATAACCACAGTGGATACGAAGACTCGTATTTATATATATATATATATATATAATGTAAATAATTACGATAATTATCCATGTATAACACGGGTATTTCATGTTTTATTAATATCTCTTATACAAGTTATATATGTTATACAATTTCAATGTTATTACTGTAATGGTATTTCTTTCAAACGATGCAATCTAAAGTCCTAAGACATATTCCTGTGTCAGAAGAAAATAACGGAGATAATGTGAAAATTAATAATGTGAATAATTTAAATAGAACATTTGTCTTTATCATATTTTACGAACACAATTTTTTTTATCTTATTATAGGTACTCGTGTTATACGAGTAATTAATATATAATTGACAAATTTCGATGAAACGATTCGAAAGTGATTAGAAAAAAAAAAAAAAAAAAGAAAAAAGTCTTACGTAACCACTGCGAATGTTATTGTTTTTAATAAAAATTTCATTGAAATCTAATCGTAAAAAGCTTGCTCGTAGTGTGCGGCCGTTGGACGACGTTTGACGGTCCTCCAATGGAAACATAATGCAGCTTGGACAGCTTGGTGCTCTTCCGCAGACACCGACACGATCGAAGGTTTCTTATTGCTCAAAGAATTTACTGCTAGCGAAAGCCCAATCCTTATTACGATGATAGAGAGCACCGAGATCGGGAACGAATGGATGCTGTGTTGCGGTGCACGCCATCATTATGAACTCTTCACGGCGTCCGGAAGTTCACGAATAGTTCACGTCGAAACGAACAAACCGCACATAGTCGCAGCGATCGATCTGCGCGAGGACGAGGAACCAGAACTATTGCTCTGTTATAACAGTGAGTTCATTCGATTTAAATATATATTTTATACAATTCTATTCCAATGTAATATTCCACAATAATATGCTAATAATCGTTTTAATCGAATTATTAAGTAATTCAAGTAATTCGAATTAATCCAATTAAATGATTTGATTCGATCGAATGAATTCTTCATTATTCACAGATATGTGTCACTTTCAAAAGTGCTCGGAAGAAAGTACTGCTCCTACGGACTTTGATTTCAAATGGAATTCAGTGCCAATTGCGATAGGTCAGAATTCAAATTCTCTATATAATTTTAATTATAATCGATTTTTAATATTAACCAAATTACGTTTCTTTGTTCTCCTTAGCTTGCGCTTTTCCTTACGTGATAGCGTTCACCGCTGACACAATGGAAATTCGTTTGATAATAAATGGAAATCTTGTACATACAATCGCCATGCCGAATCTTTGTTTGATAACTTCGAAAAGAGATATATTTTTTGCCACAACCGCACCGGAGTTTCTATCTGGTAAATGCGAACGTATTCGTCTTGATTCGAAACCTACTGACAAAGAGGAACAAGCAAGTAGTCCACCACCAACAACGCAATCTTCCTCCTCCTCTCGATCAAACTCACAAAGTAAGTTATTTTACGTCATCGAAACCATAATACTGCAATTCTAACTTATCAAAAGATATTCTTTGTATTTGTTTTCTATTGTTTTTATTGCAGATAATCATAGCGATTGGAAACCAATAAGAATCTATAGAATACCATTACAAACTCTCTCGCGAAATATAACGTCAAATTGTAGCCAAAGATGTCCGAGTCCAGTGGAACCAGAAATTGTTTCTGCCTCGTTGACGAGCGGGGAAAATAATTTTTTGAGCGTGGATTCACCAAGAATCTTAAGCAGATCTTGCAATAGCAGCCCGACACCACCAAGTGTCGCTGAAGATCTGATTCCTACTGTGTGTAGAAAATAGAAAAAAAAATGAGAGAGAGAGAGAGAGAGAGCGAGAGAGAATGAGAGAAAGAGAGAATGAGAGAAAAATGGAGACAAAGAGACACGTTAACTTTCTCCTAAACTAATTCATAATTGTGTTGCCATTTTTTATTGGATTCGTACTCCATAGTGCGGATGGATAGTAGGTACCTGACGTTCGTGCCTCTACAGGATTAAGATTTAACACAAGCAAACGCACGATCCTGTCGTTGCTATGCTTCGCGATATAAAGGCATTTAGTACGTGTATGATCGATCGTTACTCACGATCTCTATTTTCCTCCCCCTTTTTTTTTTTTTTTGTTTTTCTGTCGTCGAAATTTTTGGATCGATCTAAATTTATAGAAGAAAAATATTCGGCCTAGAAATTTCTATGTCAATGCTCGATCGATAAATCAAGATTTCAAGTGTCATCTAGCGGTGATTCTCTCGTACTAACTTTGCGAATAATTCTCTGACGATACGATAGACGACATCGATCAAAACGAGTACGAAAATGAATGAGAATTTCTAATTTGGGGCATCGATATTTTTGACGTACGATCTATCTGACGTGTACTCGATGTCTTTCTTGCCTCCTTGATACGTATTCTACATAGATAGATGCATACCTTATCTACTATATGACAGACATACAGGAGGAAAGGTCGATAACATTGTGGCTCATCGTAGAGGTTAGGGGTGAGCAAATGCCAAGAACCGAGGAGTATGAAATACGCAAAGGAATGGTCGTTTTGCCGTATCTTCCGAGAGCATAATAGCTTATCTAATATTGATTAACAATAAATTGTTTTTAAATTCTCAACGAGAGACGATACCAAAGCACAATCTCGATTTTTTGATAATACGCGGAAATGGATATTGCATATGAAGGATCTTTTTTTTTTCTCGATATCTTCTTTTTTTTTTGTATTTACAAGTATGCATGCTTCTTCTTATGATCGCGTATATAAGTTACGAAGGAAGATTTGCGAGCGTGTTCACTCTCCTAATCGTTTCGATCGAACCGATGACACTGTACGCAGCAGCGAGCATGGTCGCGACAATGGCGTAGAATTAAAAATGATTTTGTCGAAGTACTCTTTTGTTTCTTCTTCTTCTTCTTCTTCTTTTCTTTTCTTTTCTTTTTTTGTTTTGTTTTTCGTTTTTATTTTTTTTAATTCTTTCTTTTGTTCTTCCGTTGTTGAATATTGTCGAGCCGATGGCAATTTTGTTTGCGAGCCATTGTTGCAGTAGGTAGATGAACGAGACGAATACACGAGGTGTACGGTCATGATTATCGATTATTCACGGTATAACCAGCTTGTTCTGGGGGCTGTGACGCATTCGCGATCGAATTTCACCGATCGTAGCACAACGCCGCTACATGCGTGAAGTTCTGCAGACGATGTAATTCTGCATACTCTTCCTTCCTTCCTTCCTTCCTTCGACGAGAAAGAGAGAGCGAGAGAGAGAGAGAGAGAGAGAGAGAGGCAGAATTTAACGTGTGTGTGTGTATGTGTGTGTGTGTATATACGAAAGCATGAAATAAAGTGTACCTTATCGTTGCAATGTTTGCACCAAAAACTTACACTCAAGTGACTTTCATTTTCTTGTTTCGTTATTCTTGTTTCGTAGGGAATCCCAAGACGATAAGATGTTTAAAGAAAATCCTATGAATGGCAATTACTGTCAAGCGAAGTCAGAGTAAAATGCTTTGGCGACCCCGGTCAGTCTAGATCATTGAACCGCAATAATTTACCTTTACCCGACTTCTGTTCGACACGAGTTTGTCACGATTGGTAGTAAACTCTTCTCCATGGAAATGAATCATCGAATATAAATGATTTTTTTTTTTCTCTATTTTCCTCATAAATAATATCTAGGTCATAGGTAATGGATGTTTAACTAAAATCCATGTAAAAATTGAATGCAGCATCCAGGTCCCTCGATGGGATTCCTAAATCATTCGAGAAAGGGGTAAGAGGGAGAGAAGGGAGGGCAAATAGACCCCATGCTCCATGCAGATGCACGATTTAAATGCAAAGTGGATACGGAGAGTTTCGCCATGGGTCTGCTGGTTGATCATAAATTTGGAAGTCGCGCAGCACGGAGTCATTGGCCGAGTCTGTACACCGTAGGGCAAATTTCATGCCGGCGAAATTTCCCGTCTACACGACTTGAGAGAAAGAGAGAGATAAAGAGAGAGGGAGAGAGAGAGAGAGAGAGAGAGGAGTTGGAGAAAAAACTTTCCTTCGTCTTCTTTTCTGCATCATTTCGCGATCGATCGATCATAAAGTCCTCGTTTTGCGTTCAAGCATGATCCCAGGAACGAGCTACGATCGACCAATGATTTTTACTTATTTATCGCTATATATATATATATATATATATACATAGCGACGAGTATTATTTCGTACGCTTTCGAGAAGGAGAAATACAGACGAGTTAAATATCGTAATAGGTAAGAAAACGAACGTGAAGGAGCAGCGAGAACGTGGCAATCATCTTCGAAAAGACCGAAAACGTTTCAACGAAGGTTGCCACGGAGAACGATTTCGTTCGCAGGTGTGACTTTGGTGGTGGCCGCGTAAGAGCGTGGAACAAATTTCTCGCCGTCATGGCGGCCAGTGACGGTAGTAGTGGCAGTGGTAGTAGTGGTTGCGGTGACGGCGGCGGTTGTTTTAACGTTAGCCGGCCGCTCGAGTGGCCATCTGGTGGCGGTGCACTGTACTAGAGGCGCTGGCTTCGCGCGGTCGCACGCACACACAGTCACTTGCACGCCAAAGGCGGCGCGCGGCGCGAAGGAGTAGGATAGAGTACTCGTTCGTTTAAGCGAGCAAGCGAGAGAGAAAGAGAGAAAGAAAAAGAGAGAGAGAGAGAGAGAGTATCGAAGAAAGAGAGAAGGAGGGAGGGAGGGAAAGAGCGCGCTCGAGAAAAGGAAAAGAGGGAAGGAGAGAGAGAGAGAGAGAGAGAGAGAGAGAGAGAAAGAGAGAGAGAAAGAGCAGGGCACAAACTCGTGGCGCGGAGGTGCCAGCAGGCAGCAGCGGAGACGGAGACGGAGAGTCAGAGGTAGCCCCGTGCTTGTGGCCGCTCGTGGCTCGTTGTAACTCGTTGTAACGCGACGCGAAGGTGCGCCTGGCTCTCTCGTTGCCCGTTACCTCGGTACCAGCACCGCCGATACGCGCGTCCCAGCAGGGACAAACGGGAGTGTCGAAGCGGCTCGCGCCAGTGTCGGTAGTGTGATGTGACATCGGCTCTCGTACCAGACGCGGCCGTCACCGTCTTTCTCTCTCTCTCTCTCTCTCTCTCTCTCTCTTTCTCTATCTCTTTCTTTCTCTCTCTCTCTCTCTCTCTCTCTCTCTCTCTCTCTCTCTCTCTCTCTCTATCTCTCCGTCTCTTTTTCTTTCCCCTATCTATGTCCCTTTCTTTCTCCTCTTTCTCTTTCTCTCTCTCTCTCTCTCACACACACTCACACATACACCCGCACAAGTTTCTTGTCTCTGAGCCTCTCACTTGCGCGTATACACGCACACGACGCATATTCTGTCTTTCTCATACTTCGCCTCACTCGATCGTCGAAGGAAAAAGACAGATCTCGTGGCAACGAAAAGCTAACGAAAGTTTTACAAGAAACATCGTCGAGACACAACGCGTTACGTAGCAGGAAACTCCTCGTGTCACGAAGAACGAACAACGTCGTTGTCTCATCTTCGTCTTCGTCTTCGTCTTCATCTTCATCGTTGTCGTCGTCGTCGTCGTCGTCATTTTCGTCGTCCATCGTCGTCCTCGCTGTCGTCCTCGTCGTCCTCGTCCTCGTCCTCATCATCGTCGTCGTCGTTGTCGTCGTCTTCGTCGTCGTCGTCAGTGGACGGTCATCGACGGTTCTTTCGCTCTTGCCCTCGACTCGGATATCGAGGAGCTATCTATCGCGAGTCTACGTTGCGTCGTTACGTCGAATGGACCATGAGGTAAGCGAATACAAGCGTGCCACCGAAAGCGAAGGTAACACCTAAAGTCGCTTTTAGACGAATGCTCGAACGTCGTGCGTGCAGAGGTTATGTTTCTCGATGACCCCTCGCGCTCCCCCTCCTCCGCATGTTACCACCTTCCCGCTTGCCCTCTCTCCTATCTCTCTTTCTCTCTCTCTCTCTCTCTTTTACATGTTCACCTCCCCTCTCACTTCGTCATCCCTCTCTCTTACTCCATCTCTATCGCGCGAATTCGCACTCCTTTCTCTCGTTCTCTTCACTTCCTCTTCTGACCGACCTGTACGGTGCTAGCTCGAAAGAGACATCTCTTTTCAAATAACATCCTTATAAAAATGAAAACTTTTAAATGGTTCTTTAATTTTCTTTTTAAAATCGCCGGTTCTCTATTTCTCTCTTTCTCTCTCATATGTCTATATCGTTAGAATGGTTAAGAATTCACACCTGACGACGTCTCCCCGTTGCCGTCGCCGCCATCACCGCGTGCCTTCTTGCTTCTTTATCTTACGTCCCTCTCCCTCCCCAAACCCTTCTTCACCGCACCTTCGCTCATACGCTGATTTCTCTTTCTCTCGCACGAGCGCGCAGTGAAATAAATGTATATACGTGTGCACTCGCAATCTATCGTCTCGTTTCTCTTTCTCTCTCTCTCTCTCTCTCTCTCTCTCTCTCTCTCTCTCTCTCTCTCTCTCTATTTTTCTTTCTCGTTCTTTCAGTACATTCGTCGTATCTTTTTTTTGACCGCGACAATTTCGTAATCTTTTGCTTATCGTAGTGTCTCCTCGAATACTATCAGCTGTCAGACTCGTCATGGTAATGCCACCTGTCCGTATACAAAGTCTATTCATTTCCGTTTTAGCGATTTTTCTTTTTCACTCACACCTTACGTCTTTCTCTCTCTCTCTCTCTCTCTTTCTCTTTCTCTCTCTCTCTCTCTTTCTCTCCCTTACACAAGTTTTTATCGTTTCATCTCTTTTCCTTCGGGAACGTTCGTAAAATCGGCCGATCGTCGACGATACAATACATTCATACATACATATATACGTACGTACATACATACATACATACATACATACATACATATATATGTACGTACGTACATACATATATATACATACATACATATATACATACATGCAACATACATATAAGTATGTATATACATATATATAACATATATATCCAGTCGCCGAGGGCATCTCTCGTGATCATCATCGTTCGCATTTGGCGGCTGAGATTTTTCGTGGCGCGTGCGAAGGAACGAAGAGAGAGAGAGAAAAAGAGAGAGAGAGAGGATACAGTGGCAAAAGAGGATAGTAGATCGGAGAGAGAGGAGTAGGAAAAGGCTTGTTGATATTTCGGCGTGCAGGCTTTTTCTGGCTTCATAGCGCGACCGGCCTTGAGCCCCTCCGCTCTCCCCACTCCGCGTCCACTATCCCCACCAGTAAACCCTCGGCGCGATAGTCCACGGGATCAGTGTTTCTCAAACCACGGCGGACGACACGTTACGTTTCTTCTTCCCGTTCCTCCTCTCTCTCTCTCTTTCTCCCTCTTCGTGTGTCTTGAGGATTAGAAAATTGTCAGTTTCTTTAAAGAATTAAAAGATCATATCATCGAATTGTTAAACATTTGTATCGTTTATTAATAAGATTTCCCATTGAATATATTTAATTCTTGATATTCATTGAAATAAAATAAAATCGGTATACTTCATCCGTTGAGTATTATTCGTTGAACATTTCTATTTGTCTCGAAATCGTTCGGATTTTACCAAATAAATGTTTATTCGAAGAGAAACAATAGATGAAATCTTATCCGGTTTGACCGGAAGATACTTTGAAATTTTAGTTGCTAAGGGCAAACGTGTCCTTTCTTAATTTGTGAATTTTTATTATCGATAAATCACTTGACGATGATAGCTTTTCGAAACAAATAGTACAAATGTACGTGTAAGTAAACTTTCAATGTCGCTTAGAAAGCGTTTAAATCGATTTCCGTATTATAACTACGAAGAAATTTAAGAATTGTATATAGAGTTACGGAATGGAGAGTCACTGTTACTCGACACACCGTCCTATCCTATGCCTCACGTATCCGTCTCTTTCTCATGATCCTCGACTCTCTCTCTCTCTCTTTCTCTTTCTCTCGCTCTCTCTCCTTTTCCTTCTCCTCGTCTCCTCGTCTCATCGTTCCCTTCCCTTCGACATCTCTCTTTCTCTTGCTTTCTCCCTCCTTTGCCCTTCTGTTCCCTCCTAGTACCCGGTTCTCTCGCTCTCTCTTAATCCGTTTTGTCTTTTCTCGTCTCGTCTCGCCTCACCTCACCTCACTCCACCTCACCTCACCTCACCTCACTCCACCTCACCTCACCTCACTCCACCTCACCTCACCTCACTCTACCTCACCTCACCTCACCTCACCTCACCTCACTTCACCTCACTCCACCTCACTTCACCTCATCTCACCCCACTCCACCTCACCTCACCTCACCTCACTCCACCTCACTTCACCTCATCTCACCTCACCTCACCTTACCCCACCTTGCCTCACCTCACCCCACCTCACCTCACCTCACTTCACCTCACCTCACTTCACCTCACCTCAC